GGTTGGTATACATATGATACTGGCTGTGTTGTGTGTGTGTGTGTATTCTGGCCTGTGATTTTGCTTCTCAGAAGATGTCATTTGAATTTGTGTGAATTGCCAAGATGTAGGTTTTGTGCCTAACAAGAAACGTGGAATGCTTGCAAACTCGATAGCTGTATTTTCATGGTTAAATTATAATGGAATGTAACATTTTGCCAGGTATCACTTCATACTACGATAACGGGAAATGTCAGAGACTTCCTGAAAACTAGGATGTCAATTCTGAGTGTTCTTGTTGGTGTTGGAATGACACCCTCGCTGCCAAAGCTTGTGCAGGCTGGTCCTCCTAAAGTTCTTTCTGTTCTTTTAGATGGTCGTGTTGTTGGTTCAATACCATCTGACCTAGTTGAAAAGGCGTCACACACATGCGAAGATTAAAATTGTCAGCAACAGCACAGGTATGTTCTGTTGCGTTATGTTTCAAAATTAGTTTTTAAATCAGTACTTATAATGTACGGAAATAATAGATTCCTGAGGATCTCGAGGTGGGATATGTTCCTTTGAGCATGTGTGGGGCATACCCTGGCTTATTCCTGTTCACATCTCCTTCAAGATTTGTTCGTCCAGTCAGAAATATCTCGATCCCTCCTGAAGAGGGCAACAAGTTTGAACTTATCGGACCCTTTGAACAGGTAGTTATAATTGCCAATAGGTACTTCAGCCTACTTGTGCTTCTGTAACTACATAAAGATTTTCTGCTATGTACTTAACTCTTGCACTGGATCCATTGTAGTGCGGAATTTTGCCTTCTTATAAGGATACTGCTTTGTGCAGGTCTATATGGAAATAAGCTGTCCTGATGGTGGAGGTGGTGGGAGGAAGAGTATGTTTCCTGCAACTCATGAAGAAATTCACCCAACTGGGATATTGAGTGTTGTTGCTAATCTTACACCTTGGTCAGATCACAATCAAAGCCCTCGTAATATGTACCAGTGTCAGGTTTGCCACATGTGGTTCAAACAGTTAATTTGTTTGTATAAGTGCTGCTATTCTTACTATTTATGCTCTATGTCATCTAGATGGGAAAACAAACCATGGGATTCCCTTCTCAAGCATTACACAGTCGTGCTGATCAAAAGCTTTATCATCTTCAGGTTTGTTCTGAAAGTTTTGTCCTTTTGCTTTTTAGAAAATGGCATTTCCAATAAAATGATTCCTTGTAGCGGCGGCAGAGCAACATTATTATTATTATTATTATTATTTGGTTGTATTGCTTCCTCCTCATTATCAAATTCTTTTCCTTTCAGTTAGTTTTTAATGGTAATAGATATTCTCACTGTTTCATGCTTAATAAATGTAAAAAAATGTGTAAGACGATTGCTTTAAATTTTTATCTCTGGGTGGTGGAGCAGCTAAAGCAGAAAATGCTGCTATATAGAAGAGCCAAATATGAGCTGTAGGAGTCCTTTTTTTAATTCACTTTGGTCAATAAGAAAAAGAGAGAAAAAGGAAAAGAGAAACGAAAGGACAATATGGAATAATTCAAAGAGTTGATTTCTCAGTCCCTTCTGGTTCATCCATTTTACTTCGCTAATTTTTTCCTTTTTCAATGACATTTTTGTTTTAGTGAACAATGAGAAGTGTCACAAGAATTCAGGTTAAGTTGATAGGAATAAATAGTATCGTCCTGGTCAAATGATGAGATGATTTCATACTGAATCGTTTCATGATTGTACCAAACAGAACTTATGCTGGGAGGATATAAATGTGGTTGTGGTGGGGTGCCTATCATGGTTAAGAACCTTGATGAATAATGGTATTGTTCATAATACCTGAGTTCTTTTAGATGATACTTTAGTTTATGTTAACTTCATTATTAGGATGGCAATGACTTGGTCTCCCGAAGATCTACTCAAGAAGTGGTCACTTCTAGGTGTGCATCTTCATGAAGCAGTTTTTTCACCCATTAAAGGTGATATTGTTCCATGTATTGCCTTGTTCATCTGTGTGTTTGGAGTCAATCACTTTTTGGAATATGTAATAGGTTGATTGTCTTTCTGCCCCTTGCTTATTAGGTTTTTCCTTGCAAGATTAGGCAATAATTTGATTCAGGATTGCCTTTACTGTTATGATCAATTAAGAATGGGAAATTTTCATATTTAGTTTTCAGTAGGTCTTTGATTATCATTGGCATTGATTGTTGTACACTTGCATTTAGGTTCAGGCACACTGTTTACATTCTAATTTTTTTAAAACAATAAGAATCTCCTATGTGTTGTATTTCATAGTTAACCTGACCTTACTTTTGATGTGGTAAGAAGTCTTGTGATAAATTAACCTGTTTGCGAACAACTATGGAGGTATCCTAAACACAAACATTTAACCAACTCAATGAAACTGCGAGATGGATCAATTTACACTTGCATATCTAGATTGCTGATGTGCCAGCAGTAGCAATAAGTAATATACGTAAAATGGAGGTATAGTGCTATTTGCTTTTTAAACAATTTTCTTAATGGAAACATCTAAAACAATCAAAGAAGGTTCATTCTTTGATAATTTAGCATGTTACTGTGACTTTGGACAAATATTTATTTGCAAATTACTTTGGAAGTGCTGATACAAGTGAGAGAGACATTTATACTTGATATCTGGTGAGATGCGAGTATCATGCAAGATTCTGGGAGACAAGGTGGACAATTTGTCATGTAGAGTAGCAAGTTTCGTACTCTTAACAGATTGCTGATCTCCCTTCTGATGACTTGTATAGTTCTCATTTTTGGGGGGTATTTTGATTTCACTTTCCAGTCTTTGAATATATTTTGAATGTGGCTGATTAACCCTTCTTTTGACTCTGCTTGATATTGTGCCTTACAGACTCCCAAACACCTATTGTACGCACAAAGGCATATGAAAAGTACCACATTGATGAGTTTCCATTAGGAACAAATGCTATTGTGGCAGTTTTGGCTTATTCAGGGTATGAATTATAAACATGTTGAAAATCTGAATTATATATTATAGGTACTTATACTTTTCTTGGTATCCTGTAGATATGATATGGAGGATGCCATGGTCTTGAATAAATCATCTGTGGAACGTGGGATGTTTCATGGTCACATATATCAGGTAGCATGTGGTGCTTGGAGTTTTAGTTTCTTGACTACAATCAGAAAGATGCAGTATGCAATGATCTTTTTATATTGTACTTGTAGTCACTTTAATTTTTGAACATTATCAATCTTAATCTCAACACTTTGCTTTACATCTAAGATCTTGTCTTAATTTACTGGGGTACTAGGTTTTTATCATCTGCATC